ACGGGGGGTCCCTGGGGGTCCATCCACAGCCAGGGGAGGGGTCGGTGCACGGCAGGAGCACCGGGCTCGCCCTCGGGGTCCCGTCCCGGGGGGCGCTGGGGCCGGGGGGGCTCAGGGCGGCCGGGGCTGGGGGCAGTGCCGCGCCGCCTCCCGCACCAGCCGGGCCTCGCGGGGCGTCCAGGGCCGGGCGTAGCCGCCGTCCTGCAGCAGGAGGCGGTTCAGGGTGTGCTCGTGGTTCACGTGCCGCCGCGCCATCAGCGCGTACTCGCCGCCCTCCCGCAGCGGGGGGCACCCGCAGGTGTTGGGCACCCACAGGTATTCCCGGGACACCAGCGGCGAGCGCTGCCGGAACGGCGCCTTCACCTCCACCTCGTAGCGCGTCTCCCGCCCCACCAAGCGCTGCGCCACGATCCGCCCGTGGAACACTGCGGGGTGAGGAGGGGGCACCCTGAGCCCCTTCCCGCCCCTGGCGTTGCCCTGAGCCCTGTCCCGCCCCCGACACCCCCCCGAGCCCCTCCCGCCCCGGCGCTCACCGAAGTCGCTCTGGCAGAAGTGCCGGATGCGCTGGGAACGTCCCTTGGCCGGGCGGCACCTCCCGCATCGCCCTGCGGGGACAAAGCTGCAGCAATTTAGGGGGCGGAGGGGACTCCTCACCCCCCAAAACCCCCTCCTCGAAGTTCTGGGAGGGCTCATTGAGGGTCCAGACTCCAGAGATGGACACGCTGGGCTCCTGAGAGTTCTGGAGGGGGGTTTTAGGGCCCATTTTAGGGCCCCCATCTCATTTCTACCGCTGAGCTCTCCGGGACCCCCCCGTCCACAGCAGTAAGCCCAGGGGTTTGGGAGGCTGTGGGGACCCCCGAAGGGAGCAGGTACCTGCAGCACCCCCATCTTGGCTCCAGCCTGGGGGGCTCCTCGGTGACGGCTCCGTGGCAGAGCCCCCGGGCTGAGGGGGCCGTGCAGGGGCCGGGGTGAGCGGGGGCTCCTGGGGCGGGGGGCTGCCGGCCCCCCGGGGCTGGGGCTGCCGCAGGGGGCTGGTGTCCCCACGGCCGGGCTGGGGGTGCCCGCGGGGCAGCCAGAACTCGTACTCGATGCCAGGGTTGGGCTCCTGCAGCAGGACCTGGGGGGCAGGGGCAGGGCTGAGGGGGGCGGTGGGGGCTGGGGGTGGCTGCCCCTTGTCCCCTCCCCGCCCTCACCATCACGTGCAGGTCCTGGTCGGTGGGCCCGGGCGCCTCCAGGCTCTCGGTGCCGTCGGGGGTGCGGGTGTAGGTGAGGCGGGTGCCGGCGGCCTCGTAGGGCCCCGGCCAGGCGATGGCCCAGTCCCCGTTGAGCACGTAGCGCCCGTCGCTCGTCATCAGCGCTGCGGGAGCGAGCGGGTCCGGGGCCCAGCACCGCACAGCCCCCGGGACCCCCCGCCCGGGTCCCCACCGGAGGCCTCTCCCGGCGCAGGGAGGGCAGCGTGGGCCGGGAGAGCCGCGCTCGGGGCTCCGGGGAATCTGCTTTCTTGTAAGATCTTGGCTTCGGGCCCAAGCCGGAGCCAAACCCTCGTGTGCAACCCCCCGCCTCCACCAAGCCCCCAGACCCTGCTCCCAGAGGGGGACGGGGCTCCAGCTGCGCTGGGGAGGGGGGTTGGGGGAATGGGGGTGCTGGTTCTGGTGTGCAGTGGCCGGTCTGGCCCCGCTCCAGCTCAGCCCTTCCCAAAACCCACGGCCGCAGCCTCTGGAAAATTGCCCTGAGCGCTTGCGAGTTCACTGACCCCGGGATGCTCAAAACAGCATCTGAGCGAGGGAGCGGCACGGCAGCCATGGGACAACGAGGGACAACGAGGGACAGCACAGCACGGAATGACACAGCCACCCCCTGCCCTGCCCTGCCCTGCCCTGCCCTGCCCTGCCCTGCCCTGCCCTGCCCAGACCCGCAGCTGGCACCGGCCAGGACCAACTGGGATGGGCTGGGGCTGACTGGGAAGAGGGCAGTTCGTGTCCTACCCAGGTAGTTGCGGCTCTTGTCCGTCACCTTGATGTGGGTGGCCCCAGCTGGGATCTTGGTCACATTCATGTACCCAAAATATCCTGTCGGGGTGGGGGGCAGAGTCAGGGCAGAGCTGGGGCAGGGCCCGAGGGGACATCCTGGGGGGATGGGGCAGGAGGGGATGGGGCACAGATGACCGGGGTCTGGGGCATTAACCCAGCTGGGCCCATGTGACGGGACGTTGGGGGCACCCCACAATGGCCCTGGGGTGCCATCCAGGGTTGTCTGCTCTCACAGGAATCACTGTCCCCACAGCCTGCCCAGCACCCTGTGGATTCTGGACATGGACACAGGGACTCTGGGTGCCCCCAGGGACCCTCGAACACCCCTGGGGACCCCACAGACCACAGGGGTGCCCCAGAGACCCTCCACCCACCCCAGAAGAGCAACACCCTCTGCAACGAGGCCAAATCACCCCGGTGAGGGGGCTGCTCTGAGCCCACTGTCCCTGTTCCTGATTGCTGGGGACAGGGAGGGATCAGGGATAATGCCCTGGTGGACGGGGTGACAGGGGATTCAGGCAATGCCTTGGGGACACAGACGGGGGACGGGAGGACAGGAGAGCCAAGAGCCAAAGCATTCACCCATGGAGGGGGCCGGGGCAATGGTTCATTCACCGGAGGAGGGGTCCGAGCCCTGGAACAGCCGGTGCACGAAGACGCAGGAGCCGCTGCCGCAGTGGCCGCAGGCATCGGGGTGGGGGCCCGAGCCCAGGATCCCGTCACAGCCCACGCTCTGTGGGAGCCCAGACGCTGCCTCAGCGTGGGGGGTCAGGGCTGGGGGTCCCGAGGGGTCCCGGGGGGTCCCAGCCCCTCACACCCACCAGGCAGCGCCCGCCGACACACAGGTCCGGGGAGCCGGGGCCGCAGCGGGTCCCGTCCAGCACCCGCCCGAAGCTGTAGTAGAAGTTGTGCCCCTCGGCCAGGCAGTTGAGGTCGCAGAGGTTGGGGGCTGATGGGTTGGGGTGAGAAGGGATGGGGGTGACACCGGGGGCAGCCGTGGCCCCCCCGTCAGCCCCGTGACACCGTCCCCACCCCAGGACTCACCTCCGTGGAAGGGAACCCAGCGGTACCGGGCGGAGGTGCCCAGGACGGGCTTGTTGTCGTAGAGGGAGCATTGCATGGCCCGGAAGGGCACGGAGCCGCTGGGACAGCCCTGTGGGAGCGGCAGGATGGAGCCCACGGGCCGGGATGGGGACTGGCACCAGCCACGTCAGTGCCCGGCCCTCCCCGTGCTCACCTGGAGCTGGCAGAGCCGGTACTGCCGCGGGTCCCCCGTGCACGGCTCCTCCCCGGGGGTCCTGCCAGCACAGCGTCAGCACGGTGGGGCCGGGACAGGGACCCCCCCTGAGCAGCCCTGCCTGTGCCCCACAGCCCCCACAGGGAACCCCCCATCTCCAGGGCTGCAGTGCCACCGAGCCACCACAGGGCTGGCAGTGACACGTCCCCACGGGGGAGCAGGAGCGGGTACCCCGATGTCCCACGATGTCCCTCATCCCAGCAGGGTGGAGCCACCAGGCTCCAGGTCCCCCCAGGTGGTGCCAAGGGCCCCCAGGGACACACGGGGGGCGGTGGCAGAGCCGTGCCAGGGGATTTGGGTGCCCCGTGTGGGGTTTGGGTCATGCCATGGGATGGGGTCCCCGTGCCCCACTCACCGCTGGCACCTCCGGGTGCGAAGGGCGACCCCATCCCCGCAGGAGCTGGAGCAGGAGCTCCAGGGGCCCCAGGACCCCCAGGTCCCCCGGGCCGGCTGCCGGCGGGGCCGAGCAGGGGCCGGGGGCTCGGGGACCCTCGCTGGTGTGCCCAGGGCTGGGTCCTGCACGAGGGAGGTGACAATCAGCACCGGGGTGGGGGTCAGGCGGCCCGGGGGTGCCACCGTGCACCCCAAACCCCTCACCTGTGCCGTGCCAACCAGGCTGAGCCAGGCCAGGAGCAGGAGCCGCCACGGCCGCCGGCATCTGCAGAGCACAGAGCCCTGAGCCCCCGTCCCAGGGGCCGGGGGGTGGCAGGGGGGTGTCCCCGATGGGGGCATCGCCGCCGGGGCGGGGCCACCGCCGAGCCCCCCCCGGGGACCGCAGTGAGGGGGAAGAAGGAGAGACGAGCAAGAGCAGCCCCGGCGGGAGGGTCCCCGGGGCGGGGACGGGGGGTCCGGTGCTGCCGGAGGGGTCCGGCGGGTGGGTGACAACGGGCCTGTGACACCGGGTTGGTGACGCCGGGTGGGCGACGCCGTGTCCCAAACACGTGCCCGCACGGCACCGGGACGGGCGACGGCCCCGCCACCCCCAGGGCCCCGCGGCGGGCGCCAGGCCGGGATCGCTGCCTGCCGGGACAGGACCAGACCTGCACGCTCGGGGCTCCGCGCCGCTCCCCGATCCGGATCCGGCCCCGCCGTGGGGCGAGCGAGGTGGGGGGCAGCGGGGGCCCCCCACGGCCCAAAGCGCCTGATCCCGGAGCCCCTCAAAGCGCCCAGTCAGGGGGGTGGGGGATGCGGGAGGTGCCGGGGGTGCAAAGGGGTGCAGGGGGGTTCCGGAGGGGTGCAGGGGGGTTCCGGGCTCCCGGCCCCGCGTCGGAGAATCCCCCGGCCGAGCCGGTTCCCTCCCGCCGCGCAGCTCCCACGGGGACCGGGAGGGTCGCGAGTGGCCGCCCCCAGCCCCGGGCTCCGGGTGCCCCCGGCGGGGCAGGGGAAGGGGTGGGGGGTCGCGGTGCCGTCGCTCCGGGGTGGGTGCCGGTGGGTCCGGACCCCGCCGAGGGTCGGGTGATGCCCAGACCCCGCCGGCAGCGCGGGGGGCACCGCGTGCCTCAGTTTCCCCGCAGGAGCCCCGGGGGTCCGTGGGGGTGCGGGGTGGGGGGTCCCGCGAGGGGGTTGAGCAGAAATCAGGACCTTACCCAGCGCCGGGGGGTGCCCCGCGGAGGACGGGGCGGCCCCCACAGCCCCCCCCGGCCATGCAGCCCCTCGTCCGCGGCGTCCCGGCGGCTCCGTCCCGGCTCGGCGTCCCGGCGGCGGCGAGAGGGGGGGACCCGGCACGATCGGGCATCGCCTGCGCAGCTCCGGGGGGGCCGGGCGAGGCTTCCCCCCCCCGCCCGGTTCGCCTCCCGTCCCTCCCCGCCGCGTTATTAATATCCAGCCCCAAAGGTGCGCCCAGCCCTCCCCGGCCGCCCGTTAACCCTTGGGGGCCCGGAGCTCCGGCGGTCGGGGAGGGGGGGCCGGTGGCGTTCCGGGGGGGCGGAGCTGCTGCTTCGCAGCACCTGCACCCCCCTCGGGACCCCACCAGCCCCAGCAGCAGGGGGGAAGAGGCACCAGGACCCCCCTACAAGGTCGTATCCTGATCCGGGACCCCCCGGTTCTGGGCATCCCGGGGAGGGTTGATCCCACTGGGGGTCCCTCCTTCGAGATCTTCTGGGGGGGCTTCGGGTGCCAGAGCACTGGGCGCTGGGTGGGAGGGGGTCACCCGGCACCCTTGGGTCCCACGGGCATCTCGGAGCTGAAGGGGTTACAGTGTCGGGTGGGGGTGTCCCTGGGGTGTCCCTGGGGTGTCCCCACTGCAGAGCAGAGAGGGCAGGATGGTCCCGGGGCACGCGGGGGATGAGCCCCCCGGCTGGTACATCGAGGACTCAGGCAGTGGGATGATCTACAAGCGGGGACGGCTCCTGGGACAGGTAAATCCCCCATCCCTGCACCCCTGAGCAGCCCCGCACCCCAGCCAGCACCCCCTCCCCGCTGGGCACCCCGGGGGGGTCCCACACCCGCACCCCCCAGGGCTGCAGGGGATCCCCGAGGTGTCCTGCTCCGAGGGGGACCCACCACACCCCCTCTGGGGAAGGGGAAGAGGCAGGGGGGAGACACGGACTGAGCCACAGCAGGAGGGGGGGCACACGGGTGGGCACCGCAACACCCGGGACCCCTCCGGCCCCCCCTCCGTGTGCCGGGCTGCCCCTTCCCACGGGATCATCCTCGCAGGGCACCTTCGGGCGCTGCTACCGGGTGACAGAGGTGACCAGTGGCCGGGTCTATGCACTGAAGGTCGTCCCTCGAGCCGGGCTGGCTGCGGTGGGCACCGGGGACAGGGTGAGTCCGGGGGGGACAGTCCTCAGGGACGGGGACCCTGGGGACCCCCCAGAGCCCCCCAGCCCTGCCCGTGCCCCGTCCCGTGGGGTGTGTGCTGGGGGTGCCCGGATCCCGAGGGTTCCCCGGGGGCTGCCGGGCTCGTGTCGGTGCAGGTGGAGCGGGAGCAGGAGCTGCACCGTCAGCTGAGCCACCGGCACATCGTCCGCCTGCACCGGCACTTCACCCACCGCGGCCACCTCTGCCTGCTGCTGGAGCTCTGCGGCCGCGGGGTGAGCACCTGACCCTGAAACTGGGCACCTGACCCTGAAACTGGGCACCTGAACCCCAAAACTGGGCACCTGAACCCCAAAACCAGGCACCTGAACCCCAAAACCAGGCACCTGAAGCCAAAACTGGGTACCTGCACCCAAAACCGAGCACCTGAAACCCAAAACAGAGCACCTGCACCCCAAACCAAGCCCCTGCACCCCAAACCAAGCCCCTGTACTCCAAAACCAAGCAATGCACCCACCCCCCCAGGCCGGGGCTTCAGCAGGGCCCAGGGTGGCCCTTCGCTCTGTCCCCAGTCTCTCCTCCCCTCCTCGCTCCATCCCCGTCCCTTTTCCTTCTGTCCCAGTGCCTCCCCTCTCTGTCCCCAGTCCCTGGCCGACATCCTGCGTGCCCGGGGCCGGCTGGGGGAGCCGGAGGTGCGGTTTTACCTGCGCCAGGTGATCTCGGGGCTGCGCTACCTGCACGGACACGGCCTCGTGCACCGGGACCTCAAGCTGAGTGCGTGGGGCACGGGGGGGGTGCGTGTGTGACCCGGGGCGGGTTTGGGGTGCCCCACACCTGCCCCACCCCGCTCATCCCCCTCCACAGGCAACTTCTTGGTGACGGAGGAGATGCAGGTGAAGATCGGGGACCTGGGGCTGGCGCGGGGGGCGGCTCCGCCCGGGCGGCGCTGGGGGTGAGCGGGGCCGGGGGGCTCACCCTGCCCGTGTCCCCGGGGTGCTCCTGGACAGGGGTTCATCCCGTCTGTGTCCCCCCAGGGCGCTCTGTGGGACCCCCAGTTACCTGGCCCCGGAGGTGCTGGACCGCAGGGGACACGGGGTGCCCTCGGACATCTGGGCCCTGGGATGTGCCCTGTAAGGGGGGCTGGAGGGGGGACGAGGGGGCTGCAGGGAGGACAAAGAGGGAGGACGAGGGGGCTGGAGGGAGGATGGAGGGAGCTGGAGGAAGGATGAAGAGGGAGGACAAGGGGAGATGGATGTAGGATGGGAGAAAGCTGGAGGGAGGACAAGGGAGGCTGGAGGGAGGACAGGGGATGCTCCTGGCCCCACCTGGAGCAGCTGGACCCCCCCCCCCCCAGGTACACGGCCCTGACCGGCCGCCCCCCGTTCGAGGGGTCCCAGCGGCTGGAGCTGTACCAGCACATCCGGGGGGCTCGGTACCCGCTGCCCCCCCAGCTCTCCCCCCAGGCCCGGGCCCTCCTCGCCCTCATGCTGGACGCTGACCCCGCAGCACGGCCCGGCCTGCAGGACGTGCTGGACCACCCCTTCTTCACCCAGGTGTGGGGCTGGTGGGGGGCACGGGGGGGCCATGGGGGGAACACACACACACGGGGGGTTGTCACTGCCTGTCCCTCCCCAGGGTTTCACACCCCACAGGCTCCCACCCCGCGCCTGCCACTCCGTGCCCGTGTTCCTGGGACAGGACCCGCTGTGCCGGCTGCTGCGGGGGCTGCAGTGCTGCTGGGGGGGTGGCTGTGCCCCTGGCACCCCGGGGGGGCCGTGTCCCCCCCCCAGGGGAGCAGCTCCCTCGGCAGGACCCGAGCCAGGCAAACATCGGCGGAGGAAAACCTTTATTAGTGCTGGGAACCGTCTAAAATCCAGTCATGGAGACAAGCGGGGCGGGGACGTGACTGGGACGAACGGCACACACACACCAGTCTGCCCTTAAAAACGTCAACAGGGAAAAAAAACCCGAAATCCAAACCCAAAAGGGAGCTCTCTTCCCTGCCAGCCTGGGATGGGGTGGGGTGGGGAGGTGCATCTCCAAGGAGCCGTGTCCTGGTGCTGCTCCTGGGGGTCACCAGGAGGGGCACCAGGTCACCCTGCTCTGCCTCCAGCCCCACCAGCAGTGGGGACACTGGAGAGGGGACAGAGGGACCTGTGGGCTGGGAAGGAGGGAGGAAAGTGCGTGGTTTCCCTGTCCAGCTTCAGTTTTCTCTCTCTTTTGAGAGAAGAGTCTGGAAACGCTGAAAGCTCAGTAAAACATGACACTAAAATCACCCACAGCGTCGGGGGGAGCTGGGACCACCCACCTATGCCTAAAACACGGGAGGGGACAAGGACAAGATGCTCGACGTGGCCCCAGAAAGCACCAAGGAGCCACTGCCCTGCTCATGGACCTGCCCACGTGTCAGCACCAGAGGGGACCAGCGAGGGGGGGGCGTCACCAGCAGGGTCTGGGGGAGGGAGGTGACAGCAACGACTTTGTCTGCACTTGGGGTGAGCCCTCTGGGGACAAAGGCCAGAGGAGAGGGAACAGGGAACAGCCTGGCTGGGGGGGACACGGCAGCTCCCACACAGGGGGATGGGGTGGCGGGTGCGAGTTCGGGCACTTGGCTCTCACTCGTGTCCTCAACCCACGGCAGAGTGGCAGGGGGGGACCCCACAGCCCTCCCACGACACGCCCGAGGCCGCAGGGGGGGTGGGACACAAACCCCAGCCCCCCTCAGAGCTCCTCAGCCCCTCTCCAGGCTCCCCAGCTCCCGAGGAAGCAGCTGGGAACCTCTCCCAGGTTCCTCCCTGAGCAAACCCCGGCCCGGCCTTTGCCCTCGGGGTCGGGGCTCCACCACCCGACCCACGGCCCTGCCCTGGCACGGGGCCTCGTGCCACAACACCCCGAGGGTCCTCGGGGACACGGGGACAGGTGGCACAGCCTGGCTGATCCCGAGGCCGGGCACAGGCCTGGCTGCTGTCCCTGCCCGCGGCGCCGCTCCCGGCAGCCCCAGGCCTGGCGCCGAGCCCGACGGGTATTTTTATCCCGGCATCCGTGGTGTTTGAAGCTGTCGGCTTGTTTTTTTGGTAATAAACACGGCCCTCCCCTGCCCCAGCCCAGCCCAGAGCCGACAGCAACACCCACACCCTCCCCTGCCACAGCTGCCCCGGGATGGCCCTGGGATGGCCCTCAATGGCCCTGGGATGGCCCCGGAATGGCCCTAAATGGCCCTCAATGGCCCTAGGATGGCCCTGGAATGGCCCTGGTAGCCCCAGTACAGCCCAGGGGAAGGTACAGCCCCCCCTGGATACCTGACAGCACAGGGGGTCCAGCCATGCCCCCCAAACCCTGTTCTGGCAACACCTCCACCAGCCACCCCCTCCCAGGCAGGAAGGTCCGAGGGGCTCAGGGCAGGATGTTCCAGTAAATTCCATGGGTTTTAAGCTCTGGGATCTCCCCATCTTTACTCCACAGCCAACAGCTGCCCAAAGATGGGGAGAGCGGGGCTCGCTGCCCTTGTTTGGTGCTCAGGACAGTTCCCTCTGTCCTGGGGCACAAACCAGGCCAAGGGGGAAACAACAACAGGGTGGGAATTCTGGTTTCTTAAAAAGACGGGATTTAAAAACAACGACCCAAGCTTTGGGAACTCCTCTCCCCCTCCTCCCCGGCTCTGGGTGAGGCTGAAACTCACCCTCGTGCAGGACTCAGGTTCAAAGTTCAGCAAATTCGTGGGGGTGACCCAGAGCCCCGTCCCCGGCGGGGGTGACAAGGGCAGGTCACCTCCCTGTCACTGCAGAGCCCGGCCCAGGGCTGAGCCCGGCTCCCAGAGCCCAGGGGGGGCTCAGAGCGGGACCCTGGCGGGGCAGCTCGAGGCAGGGGTGGCCCAGGGGGTGTTTGGTGGCAGGTACCAGGTGAGGGGAGGTGCGTGGGCGGGGGCTGCACTGCACAGGGGCCTCAGCAGCCCGAGGGCAGCGAGCTGCTCTCCACCTTCAGTCCTTTGCTGGCCAGGAAGGCATCCTGCTTGGGCTCCCGGCCCAGGAACTTCCTCAGCATGTCAGAGGCATCCACGGAGCCGCCGGGACGCAGGACACAGTTCCTGTAATCCATGCCCACCTGCCAGCAGAGACGGGCCCGTCAGGGACACCCGCCCTCGTCAGGGACACCCACCCTGGCACCGGCACTGCGCCCCAGCCACGCTCGGGGGACCCTCCCTACCTTGCAGTTCCTGGTGCCCTCAGGGGGCTCTCCCTACCTTGCAGTTCATGATGCCCTCCTGCTTGAAGCGGGTGTGGAACATGTCCATGGAGAACACCTCGCTCCAGAGGTAGCCGTAGTACTGCGCGTCGTAGCCCCCGGCCAGGTGGCCGAAGGTGGCCGGCATGTTCGTCCCTGTGGGGCGGGGAAGGGAAGGGGGTTAAGGGGGACTCACAGCATGGAAACCACCCCCCCGCTGTCACTGTGTCGCAGCAGGCACTGCCTCAGCTGGTCACAAGCCCAGGGGACGCAGGAAAGCACTTCCCAGTCCTTTCTGCGTGGTTCAACCCCACTTTTCCTGGAGCCGGCACAAAGTGTCTCCACTGAGCCAGCCCGGGAAGAGCCTGCTGAGCCAAGGGTGCAGGCCAGGCCTAGAGGGACAGGAGGGTGGGACACCCATACCTGGGGTGGCAGGGACACCCAGCACCTCTTCACACAGCCGGGCAAACACCTCCACGGGGTCGGCCTTGGTCTGGGTGTGCAGCGCCTGGTCCACCTTGGCCAGGACGATCTGGCGCAGGTTGAAGAGCCCTGTTCCCAAAGGGAGGAGGAGGAGGAGGCAAACTGAGCTCCTGCTGGCAGGCAGGGCCAGAATCCTGCCTACAGGAGTGTCACTGAGGCCAGTGGCAGCAGGGCAGGCTGGGGGCCTGGCACCTCTCGTCACTGTGCCACCTCCCACCCCATGTCGTGCCACGCCACCCTGGCTCTTCCCAGATGAACACCAGGCAGGTGTGGCTCCTTCCCCCAATCCTCTCGGACCCTCCAGCACCACGGGGAGCCAGGCAAAGCCTTTCCTCTACCCAGCCAGGTCACAAAGCGTCCCCTTGCCCTCGCCACGCTCAGGGAGCAGCAGCCCCTCGGCAGGGACCCACCCGTGTTTGCCTGCCGGGATTTAATGAGCTTCTCCAGCAGCTCATCTGGGATGGGGCTGCCCGTTTTGTAGTGCCTGGACATGCGCAGCAGCGGCTCCTTCTCCCACACCCAGTTCTCCAACATCTGGGACGGGGCCTCCACGAAGTCCCTCTCCACGTGTGTCCCGCTGAACATGGCAAACTCGGCCTGGGAGACACGGCGAGCTCAGGGACGGGGGAGCGGGACGGGGGAAAGGTGCCAACCTGGGCCAGCGCAGGGAGGCCTCACCTGGGAGCACAGCTGGTGCATGACGTGCCCGAATTCATGGAAGTACGTCTCCACCTCGTCGTGCTGCAGCAGGGAAGGGGCGTCCGGCGTGGGCTTGGTGAAGTTGGCCACCATGGCGGCCACCGAGATCTGCCGGCTGGAGTCCGGCAGCAGGCAGCCCGGCTGCAGGCCGAAGCAGGCAGCGTGCCCGTACTTCCCTTCCCTGGCACAGGCAGAGGACACTCACAGGGATCCTCCCCACGGCCAGACACAGCCACGGCCTCCCCCACCACGGTCCTGCCTGGAGCAGGAGCCCCGGAGACCCCCCCGTGCTCCCGGGATGGCCCTTCCCGAGCACAGGAGCAGGACCCTGCTCCTCCTCAGGCTCTGCTCCCCAGCCCAGCCCTGCTCCCTGCTCCTCCTTGCCCGAGGCCTCACCGTGGGTACAGGTCCAGGTAGAACTTCCCGATGGTCTCTCCGGAGGACGTGTCCTTCACCGTGTAGAGCTGCACGTCCTCGTGCCACACCGGCGCCTTCTCCTCCAGGTGGAAGGTGAGCCCCAGCAGCTCCTGGTAGATGGCCAGGAGGCCCGTGGTGACCACCTGCATGGGGAAATACTCCTTCAGCAGGTTCTGGTCCACGCTGTACTTGGTCTCCTCCACCTGGTTCATGTAGTAGCGCATGTCCCAGGCGTTGATGCGGTTGTCAAACTCCAGCCCGCGCTTCTCGCACTCCTTCTTCTTCAGGTCCAGGATCACGGCCCGCTCCTTCTCCCCGAGGGGCTTCAGCTTCTGGGCCAGCTCATCTGGGAGAAGCACAGCAGGCAGGGTTGGCACCCGTGGTCAGAGGAGCACGCCCGGCCCGGGACGCCCCCGCTCTGCCCCGGGACGCACCCAGGAACGTGGCCACCGTCGTGCTGCTCTTGGCCATGTTCATCTCCAGCACAAAGTCTGCGTGGGTGCTGAAGCCCAGCAGATTGGCTTTCTGAGCCCGTAAATCCACCAGCT